TGTTACTATTCAGGTCTCTTCAGCTTTCTCCAAATAGTGAGAGTGGGCAAGTAGCAGGGGACACCACATTATCTGAATCTATCTGGCTCCTGAGTTCAGACATTTTATTTTATTTTTAAATATATCTTTATTGATTTCAGAGAGAGGAAAGGAGAGGGAGAGAGATAGAAACATCAATGATGAGAGAGTCATTGATTGAGCCTGCAACCCGGGCATGTGCCCTGACCGGGAATCGAACCCGGATTGCCTGGATACTAGGTCAACGCTCAACCACTGAGCCACGCCCGGATGGGTGTGTGTTCAGACATTTTAAATAGTGGGGGTTACAAGTACCATTCAATCCTAAAACCACCATGTATTTATAGTACTCTTGGTCAGGCATTATATGACTGTTGGGGATACAGAGATGATTAAGTCAGATGAGTAAGTCAGATGATTGAGGGTGGATGCCCAAGTTCCCACTAAACATTAAGCTCCCAAAGGGCAGGAGCTGAGCTGTTCCCAGAAGGATTTAATTCTAGCAGTCTCTCTACCATCTTGTTCCTCATCTCAACCTACTTTACCTCTGACCCCACTTTAGTGGTTTCACTTCACTTACTCCCATTTGCCAGCTTTTTCAGAGTGTTTCCCACCCTAGTCAGTTTGGCTCAGTGGTTAAAGCCTCTGCCTGAGGACTGAAGGGTCCTGGGTTCGATTCTGGCCAAGGGCACCCACCTCAGTTGTAGATCCAATCCCTGGCCCTGGTTGGGGTGTGTTCTTTTACATTGTTTCTCTCTCTCTTTCCCATCCACTCTCTCTGAAAAGCAATGGGAAAAATATCCTCAGGTGAGGATAAAAAAAGAAAAAAGTGTTTCCCATGTGCCTAGAATACCCAGTACGTGGACTGCATATCTATTTGTATTTTGAATGCCTAATCTTTGACTTACAAGATTATTCAGGTTTCAGATTTGTGTACTTTCTGTACAACTAAATCTCCATGCTGGTCCATCATAAAGTGGCTGTTCTCCCAATATGAAACAACACCTATGTGGTTTACCTAAACTCAGCTGTGGGAGCTGAGTGCATTAACCTGATCCTAATGTCATGACTGGGTGTTGTGGTTATAAGCCCAAATGATAGATCCCTTCACTCAGCTCCAAGGTACATCCAGATCAGAATTTAAGACAGTAGTAAAATGTTTCAGACTAATCATAAACTTTGCCCCAAAGGTTTCTTTAGGAATTGCTACCATGGGAACACAGGTGTAACAAGCGCCAGGAATCCTGGGATCACACTGTATTGTCACCTTTGACATTTTACTTTTGAGGGTCTTTAAATTATTTGTGTGTGTGTGTGTGTGTGTGTGTGTGTGTGTGTATGCTATTCAGGGGCAGGGAGGTGGGCCAGTTTGAGAAACTGATGGAAATGATAGCACCTTTCTTCAAAATAATACACATCTGCACACACACACACACACACACACACACACAATATTTAGAAACCATTTCTGCAGGTCCAGGTTAATAATCCATTTGTGATTTGCCATGAAGATGGAAGCTTAATACAATAACTTGGTCCTTTATGAGGTAGTATGTTCATTTACCTTTCATGTGTGTGTTTTATCCATTGAGCAGGCAAGCTTCCTGCAAGGAACATTAAAAACAAAAACAAAACACACCAAGAAAAACTTATTACCTCTAGTGATGTGTGTATATAGGGACTGAGGCTTGTGGGAAATATTTGAATATTTGCCAGTTGAGTCCTTTGAAGCCGCTATGATTTACTGTGGACAGGCAGCTTTCAATATTCTGCCACCCCCATCTCCCTCCAAAACAAAAGAGATTACTACAAGAGGACTTGGACCCTACACTCATGTTCTATTTACTTTCTAGGTTTTAGGCCAAGGCATTATTTACATATTACTTATGCAAATATCCAGTCTTGGATATTTAGGAAACAAAGTAGTACCTAGTGGAAAGCTTTATAGCCCCCCTACCCAAAACAGTAAATATTAATAAATGAATATACTCTATTATCTTAAAAACCTGTGGTTTTCATTCCTTCCATAGCTCCATCCTCACCCCATACACACCCACACCTGCAATCAGATCCTCTACTTACCCATGAATTTTATTTCTTTTTGTGTGGTTTTTTTGGTTAACCCTCATCGGAGGATATTTTTTCTATTGATTTTTTGAGAGAGTGGAAGGGAGGGAAACATCAATTGATCCGTTGCCTCCTGCCCATGCCTATCAGGCAGAGGGTCAAACCTGCAATCCATGTACATGCCCTTGCCTGGGAATGGAACTCATAACCCTTCGGTGTGCCGGTTGATGCTCTAACCACATAACCACACCGATTAGGGCAGAATTTTATTTCTCAAACTACATTTCTTTCCTGGCATGTGCTTGTGGAAAAAACTAAACACAGGAATAAACCTAATGCTAATAGAATAGTGGCCTTGTAGTTTTTCCTTTTTTTCAGATCATTCCCTCCCACCTATAAATTTCAACAGGGCCATCTTTAATCCTAACCTCTTTAGAACTTGAAAGTTTTCCCCACTGCAGTCCCCTGACTCTGTAGGCAGTTACAGCCACCCAGTGGCCATCTGGGGAAGTGACAGATTGCCCCAAAAATCTCTGGTGAGAGGAAGAACCTCATGGGATAGTTTTTGGTTTTGGATCTATTGGAGCAAGGAAAGAGAAACCTGTGGATAGGGACTATAGCACAGGATCCAGACGTCCTATTTCTTGGTGCCACCTTGAATCTCATTCACTAGTTGTTATAGGTAAATAAATTCACTTTACATTTTAATTCATTCAATCAAAATTATTGAGTAGCAACTCTGTGCTTAACACTGGGAGTACAGGAGGAAACAAGATGGACACGATCTCTGCCCTTATGAGTTACAATCTAGCAGCCAGCCAGCCAGCCAATTACATCCAAAATTGGAACACAGAGGTGATGATAGCTTGGAAAAAAGAAGATGGATTCCAGAGATATTTAGGAGTTAGAGTCTCCTTGGAGAGTGACTGGATGTGTGAAGAGAGGGATGTGTTTCTGGCAACAGGTACTGAAATAGGAGACTCTGGAAGAGGGACAGATCCCTTAGGCACAGGCCCTGAGGATGGCACAGGCCCACAGCAACAACATATTTTGGTTTTCAAATAGTTTAGGGTTTGACAGCAAACAAACCACACACAAAACAATTGCAGAGTTGATTAAACATCAAAACAATTCAGATAATTCATGGACTCCTGCATCACATGGGACTGAAAGAAGCCCTCAATCTCAGTGTGTTTAGGTACTACTGAAGCCAATACCAATGTTTCCACCTTTGTCCATGCATTTCATAGTCAGCCCTTCAAAAAACTCCTACGCAGTCCACCCAGTGTCTCACAGGGGCTGTCTTCCTCTGCTCTGGGCCCTGGTGCCCCATGTCAGGAGGATGCACTATCCCCTCCTTGCTTCTTTTTTGCCTGCTACTGTCAGGAAATTCACCTGTTATTCTCATTCTCCTCCCTTCCTTAGGTTAAATGGAATCAAATCTGGTGGTTCTCTTTTGGTCAACAGTTTTGATTTACTTAGCTCCTCTCCTTTTAAACAAATGTTTCTATTGATTTCAGAAATGAAGGGAGAGAGAGAAAAACATCAATGATGAGAATCATTGATTGGCTGCCTCCTGCACAACCCCCTACTGGGGATCGAGCCTGCAACCTGGGCATGTGCCCTGACCAGGAGTCGAACTGTGATCTCCTAGTTCATGGCTTTAGTTCCTCTCTTTACATTACCCTTGTCAAGCCCCTGTCTTCCTCATATTCCCTAAGAGGCACAGGCCCATCATGAATATACTGTGCCATTTGCCTCCCTTTTGCTCCACTCTCCAAAGTGCCCCACTCTGAAGCCCTTTCCCAGCTCTAGTTTTTCCTGGAATCAGTATATACCTACCTGTTTGCCTTGAAAAAGTCAGAAGAAAAATTTTGCCATGCGATTAACCATGAAGTAGCCTCAATAGTTTTTGCTCAGCTGATACTTAACCTCACTGCCTCCTGTCTGCTCCTGCTAACTCCCTTCCAGAGATAGTAACTGCCGAAAAAGCAGCTGACTGCACAATAGGCCTACAGGTTCCCATTGCATAATGAGCCTTCACAATGAAAAGAACATGGGCTTTGGAAATGGGCAGACTTGGGTTTACATCCTGTTTACTAACTAGTATGCCTTCTATTAAATCTTGTTAAACTTCAAAAGACTTATCTGTAAAATAGTAGTTATGGGTAGTTATATTAAACAGGGTGTATAAAGTTCATAGTATAATGTCTAACCTGAATTACCTGGTAACCATTCACTTCCTTTCTTCCCCTTGGGTTTCAGCTGCCAAATACTATTCAGAAGGGAGATTAGCCAGTTTTGTATGGCCAATGATAGGCATTTCCTATTCCTGTCTTTGTAAACACCATCTTCCTGCAGCTATCCCATTTCCATCACTGCCAAAAAAGCTGTTCCATCCCTCATCCCTGTGTAGGAATTCTTTCTCTTATCAAAAAGTTCTGCTTGAGTTATCTGACTAGCCTCTTCTATATCTCCCTAATCCAAGATACTTTGTCTTTTTGTATCATTTTAAAAAATTAACTTCTAGCATTCTAACTTTCTCAGAGTAAATTATAATGGACCTGGAAAATAGGACCTTATACTTCAGAAGGGCATGGGAACCATAGGCCAGTTCCCAGAGTAGACTGCAGGTCTAGGTCCAGGCCCCCCCCCCCC